AACCAAAACCGGCGCACGGAAGTGCATGGTTTATGGTTGTTCAAACTGAAACTGAAACTGTTGGCCGAGTGGGTAGCACGGTTGCGTTCTGCCTGTGAGGTCCCGGGTTCGATCTCCGGTTGGGTCGATGCATTCTCACCTCTGCTGAGACCCAACCAGGTGGAAACAGCTGTCCAGTGCTTCCTAACCTGTTCACCTGGCGGACGCATCACAGATGGAGTGTCGGCGCGGATACAAAAGGCTCGGTTGGCAAACGTGAGACATTTGTGGCGCCTTCGCGACCTCCCGCTGTCTGTGAAATTTCGAGTGTATGCTGTAGCAGTTCGGCTAATCCTGCTCTACGGTGCAGAGACTTGGCCTGTACCGAAACATGATAGAAACATATTATCGGTGTTCGAACACCGGTGTCTACGTCGCATTGCACGAGTCTGGTAGGGTAACCAGATGAGCAGTGCTGAGGTTAGGCGTAGAGTTTTAGGCAGTGGTGGTCGTCCACTGGAGCAAGTGATCGAACTGCATAGATTACGTTGGTTGGGGCGTGTGTTACGCATGTCATCGGATGTGTTGTCGCTGCGAGCGATGTTTGCTAAGGCTGCTAAGGCGGTTGGAAAAAAATCATGGGTGGTCAAACTAAGACCTGCCATGAGGTTATAAAAACCCTAACCAGGAGACTAGGTCACATAGGTCCTGTTAGGCTCCCTGACTGGGGACCTCGGGATGACCGTAACCGATAATTAGAGACACTGAGCGATACAGCCGGGTGTTGTAAACAGTGGCGTTCTTGCATCTTCTCAATTTCTTTGCAACCTTAGTCCACTGAACTTCTCCATTTTCTTTTCGAGTCCACTTTCAACTTTCCTTTCTCCTATTCTTCGTCTAAATGGCCAGCCATAAGACAGCAACCAAAACCGGCGCACGGAAGTGCATGGTTAATGGTTGTTCAAATTAAAACTGAAATTTGGCTTTACCCGTCTGCTGTTCATCACTTAGGTGTGTAATAAAAAACGTGACAAGCACTCGTCGATTAGCCCGGAACGCAGCTTGACGCAGGTAAATTTCGGACTTGGAGTTAGCGGAATTCTTCGTACTTGAAGACACCATGGACAACCTTCTGCTTATTTTCAGTCGCATTAATCAGCTTGCTCAGACCACTGGACTAAAGACCAACACGTCGGAAACCAAGCCATTTTCGACCGAAACTGCTGTCACGATACAATTCCTCTCGATTGACGGGGGGCCATCAGACCAACCCGTTTTCAAGTATCTTGGCTCTACATTGAAACCAAACGGCTAAGCTAAAGATAAAGCTTCTTGTGGATGGAACCAGGACAGCATTCCTGAAACTCCTCAAACCGTTATGATAAGGATGTGAAATAAGCCCGGGCTTCTATAAGCTCAACCTCACTAATGGTTGTGAAGTACAAGGGCGAAAAGCACAAGACACAAGAAAGCTCGAGGTCTTTGACAATTGGTGATTACGCCTCATCTTGAAGGCAAATTGGATAGATCAGGTTTCCATTAGATCCAACTGTTTTTTACGAATATCGACAAGCTTTCCAAAATGTCACAATGCCGGAGCACTCAGGGGTTTGGTTATGTGCTCCAAATGGCCGATGCTTAACTCTCACGACAAGCTGTAATCCATGCACTGTGCGGTGGATGTCGTTACCAGTTCGGTGGTCAATTAGAGCAGTACGATCAAGGCGGATTTCGAATTACTGGGCCTCCAATCCGTATACGGAATTACTAAATGGAAACAGAACTGGATTCATCACACTGCATCAACCTTGCCAAGGATCGTCACGCGTGGGCTGTCATGATTAGGCATCTAAGAAGCCGATTTATCTTCCCGCAAAAGTTAGTCGTGCAAAAGTAAATAAAGTGAAAAGCAAAAAAACGCTAAGTACGTTTGAAGACGTGCTTCTAAGAATGTTTTCCGTGGCCAATAGTTAAAAAGCAAAATTACATGCGAAAATTATCCTCGAAAACACTAAAAACTTACTCGGCCTCAAACTGATTGGGTAAAATAACATCCGCTAAAGGCAGCAGTTTTTCTTTGTAAATCGGTATCAATTCCGCGGGGACGTACTATCATAATGAAAAGTAATAAAAAGCGTAAATCGTGGATTAAAGAATAATTCTGTTCGTCGCTGAACGCAAAAGATATTTCGTCGTGTAGCACACAACACAGGACACTCACCAGCTCACCCGAATCTCCCAAAACGGGATCGCAATCTAGAAACCCATTGCTCATCAAACGACTCTGTTAAAACTCACAATATTTAACTTTGGAGTTCTCAGTTTTTAAGTCTCTTACTATTTCAGCTACGGTCTCAAGAAAGCATGCGGATCCCACGTAGCCTGAGAGGATGGTTTAGAGGACGCACATTATTTACTTACCGGTTATTATGTGAGTGTAATGATGTAATCCATTTGCTTTGAGCCCTAGATAGACAGCCTTCAGGTCTTCTGCATTCAAAACTTGACCTTTGACTGTTTTATATCCTGAATTCATCAAGGAATAGGCAACAGCTAGTTTTTGCAACCTACCGGTGTGGTTAGAAAACTGCACGGAGTTTATAAAATCTACATCAATGCCCAAAACCTGCTGATCATAAATATATAACGACAGTTACTTGTAAAGGGAAGACAGCGCTACGATTTCCAACGTATCCATGAACAACGTGACTTTGAATTGACAGCACACGATATGTCATTGCCGACGGCTGAAAAGTAACCCTCCGTAGTAGCACAACCCAGCTCAGTTCAGTTCTCAGGTCAGGACAGGACAGGACAGATCACAGGACTTGCGGCGGAGCCAGAAGCAGTTCAGT